TAATTAGCTATTATTATATATACAAATAATGATATTATATATATAATATTTTTAATATATATTATTTTCTTTAATTTTATATTATTATTATTATTATATGTATGTAGCTATTCAAGCTGACTCGTGAGTAGCTCGTGAAGAGATCAGTTCGTGGCTACCCCTAAGTACAATCCTCATTAAATAACATTCCATCTCCCCAATTGGACCAATCATGCAAAATGTCCATGACCAGGAGTTGATGTACCTCTTTAAGTTCTTTGCTTGCTTAAAAGGAACACTTAAGATATGCTGATTACCTAGTAGTAGGATGTATTGTAGGATTTCCAAGAGGAATGCACCTTCAAGCTAAGCATGTAGATACAGACTGTCACACATATAATTGTGGTCTATATTTACATGCTCAAGGGCGAATTCTTATTGAGATCCTAGCAATGGATCCCACTAATAGGTAACCATCACATCCCAACACTACAAGGAAATAATCACTACTTTTGTTACTTTTGATTCTTAGCCTTATATATGTAACAAAATGTTAAATTGCCTTAGATTTTTGAGAGCTCTTGGGTTCCTTATTTGAGTATTTCTCAATATTTTCAATACTTAGCGTTCAACTTTGTTGGTGTTTATTCATTGTTTATGTTGCGAGTGATGTCCTTGCATGCTATAACCTCCCAAAGTCTTGACATGAGGCTTCTGTGTCACTTATTAGATGAAAATTTATTGGAAAACAGGTTATTTGGAAAGAAATGCTCTAGGACTCACCCAAAATATTTGTTTTCCTCTCATTTTCCATGAGCCATACTAAAAAAAAAGGCAATATCAATATTTTGAAATGAGCGGAAATTCTGATTCTTGTATCCATCCCCTCACTATGCCATTTCACCAATTGGAATATTTTGAACTTGAGGTGATTTAATACTATTTATTAAGGGGAGAATTTACAATACCCAAAGAGCATTATTAAGGCCTTGTTTGGTTTGAAGGAATAGGTGTCTGGAATCGGAATAGGCTATTATGATTCCAACTGTTTGATTGGGTGGAATTGGAATCCCATTTCCATTCCTGCTGGAATGGCATTTCTCCATTTGAGAGAATGGCCATTTTCTACCCCTCTCTTGGGAATGAAGTCTCATTCTTGCTTATTTCAATTCTCATTCTCATTCATGTCTGAACCAAACAGATTATGGGAATAGACCGTTTTGGTTCCGATTCCAACTATGAACCAAACAGATCCTAAATGGAACGAAAAATAGGTAAATTATGAAAAAGGAAGTATGCTCTAACTAGTATGTTACATTATCATTTAATTTGGTATTTTACATAGACATACATAATAAGGTCTTGAGTAATCAGAGTGAGAAAGCATCTTGCCGTTTTACATACTTGATGGTTGTAACCTATAGAATTTGCCAACAAAGTCTTCCTTTTGGGCGCCCCAGGATATTTGAGTTTCACTTTACAATGTGCCCAAGAAAGAAAATTTTTCCTTTTTTATATAAGAGCCATGTCCACAAAGCGCCCATTTAACATCAAAGTTGTAAGCTAGTATGTATTTTAATGGATAAATCATGTGATGCCATGCAGACTGGCATAAAACCTTCAAACTTGCTTAATATTGGAGTCTGCTTTAAGAAGTATCAACGAGCAGGCTCTTCTGATCTCCATGTTCTGCTAGACCTTTGCATTATAACTTGATTGGAAAACCAAGGAATAGGGCAAGTTGGCAGCTAAAATTCGTTACATAAAATGAAAAATGAAGTTGAGCAAGAAAAGTTGGACTAAGCTTTGCTGTTTAGGCTTCGTTTGGATCCAGTGTAAAACTGATGATGTTTAACACTGAATCGTATAATAGGTGACCGTTATATTTTGAAAACCATGATAAAAAAGTGTAAAGTTTTACATTGATAAAATCAATGTAGTATTTACATCGATAATTGATGTAAAATTTTATGCTTTATGAGGTTTTACATCGATTTACGTTGTAAAATTCTACACCGTCCAAACACCAACAAATCTAAACCGGAGTGGAGTTTTACATCGATCTTCATTTACACCCCTTCCAAACGCCAACAAACCGAACCAGTTTAAACTTTTACATTGTTCTTAATTTACACCGATTCTAAACGCAGCCTTAGGCTCAGTTTGGAAAGCGTACAAATGCAGGTAAATAGAGTGCAAAACCTTGCACTTTGTATGTATTTGTACTGTAGATATTTGTTTTTGTACTCTTTCCAAGCATTTGTACACCTTCCAAACTGAGCCTTAAGAAAAACTAGCAAATATTATATAAGATGTATAACCTGTCACTATAACTCAAATGTAATTGATAAATGAACACCTTCCTGTGAGAAACAAAAGAACATTTCTATTTGGTTTGGTGGTATGTAACAGACCTCTCATCTTTCTTTCTAATGGCATGTAAACTCAATTTATCCTGAAGCCAGAGTGATTAAAATTGGCAATCTGAATGGGAAACAAGGGCAGTCATTAACTGAGCTGCATGCATCCTTGACTAGCCAGCTGGTCATCCACTGCGACATTGTTCTCATGCTATACAAGCACAAGGGAGACAGGCAGAGCTAGGGGTGTCAATTGGACCGGATTTGGTCCAATCCGATCCAGTCCAATGTGAGTTTATTATAAATGAATCAGGTCCAATCCAATCCAATGAATGTTTTGGGCCAATTTGGACTGGTCCAATTCAATGTATGGACCATCCAATCTGTTCAAATTCATTTTGATTTAGATTGATTTCAACCCAAACCCGGTCCATCGATACATATTATTATCTTATATCAATGGACCAGATATTGACTTAATCCAACCCAATCCAATATAAATTTGTTATGAATGAATCAGGTCCAATCCAATCCAATAAATATTTTGGACTTAATTGGTCCAATCCAATATGTCTTGTTGGTCTGTCCAATCCGTCCAAATTGATTTTGGACTGGATGGGGTCCAATCCAAAACTCGTCCATTGACACCCTTAGGCAGAGCTCTAGTAGAACCATGAAGTCATGAAAAACCTAATATGTAAACATTCTATCCCAGTCCCAGATGAAGACCATGGCCACCATTACAGATATGCTTTAGATTCAGCAATGTATAAGCCATAAAAATGGGAATGGGCTAGGGTTCTAGGATTTATAGCATCATGGCCCTAGATCCTCTCCTGGATTTCTCTCTTCTGTGCCATCTTTGTTTAATTTGTATTTGCCAGCATTATTTAATTTGTCTTGGAGCTACTAGGTAATTATGTGCATTAATGTAAGGCAACTGGTCAATCATTGCTCAGTGAAATATCCTTTTTAATACAACCAGTAAGGAAATCAAGAACTGTAGCCCAAGTCTGAGAATTAGAAACTGAAAGAGCAAATTAGCTAGGTCTTGGCTTTGATTTTTAGGAAGAGCTGGGTCTCTAGAGAAGCAAAGCATGGTTTTGTGAGCTGAGACAATTAACTTAGATCTAGACCATGCATGGTATTTGAAATTTAATCGTTTCTACTATTTGGGTACTCATGAACTGGGTCTAGAATTGGGCCAACTTTTGTGGATCCGGATTACATGCATTCCAATTATCCACATGACCATCTCTCGACGTTGTGGGCCTTTCGTTCAATTTGTTCCCACTGTGTTCCTATAGAAAAGAGTCCTACCGTGGAGATTAACTGGGACTTATTGTGCATTGTTGCAGATCAGAGGTTCCTTTTCAACTGCGTGATGGAAGGAAGAAGTAGAACAAGATGTGCTACAGAGAGCACGAGACTGACGAGAGGTAGCCCTTCACCGGAGATCGACATTGCTCATGTATGGCAGTGGGGCCCATCTTACATGACGCGTGGCAATTATAACGGCCCCACACCAAGCTACAAGCAGTGCAGTTTAGCTGTAGGCTGTAGCCTGTAGCCCCGGGCAGAACTCAGAAGACATGCAGTCTATCCAAAAACTGGAGTTAAGATCTGTGCCACACAACGTCCCACAGCACATCCCTGCCGTGTATCGGGGACATCTCCATATTATCAGAAATGATGATGTTTCTAATACACAGCGGGGATGTGCTATGAGATGTTGTGGGGCACCCTACAACTGGGCCAACAGTTAGACCAGTTGAATTGCTTGTTTATGCGAGGTTGGATCACCTACCAATAGAACATCCAACCCTCTACCAACGTCATCTCATACATAGTGGGTCTCAGTCTCAAGGTAATGTGAGATGATGTTGGTAGAGGGTTGGAATGTGTTTTATTGGCAGAAGATCCCAATTCTGTTTATCTAGGGAATGGTGAATTGGGATATATTCCTCACACAGGGAGCCTCACACTGGGAATGGGATTTGTTCCTTACACTTGGGCACCTCACATGCACACTGACCGTGCATTGGAAACATCTCCCGTGAATAATAACTTATAACTATAGGAGATGTTCTCAATGCATGGTAGGATGTGCATGTGAGGCACCCTTTGTGAGGAGCAGATCTGGTCTCCTCACACCGACATCGCACGCACATCCTACCATGCATTGGGAACATCTCCCATACTTGTAAATTATTATTCACGGGAGATGTTTCCAATGCACGGTGGATGTGACTGTGAGGAGCCCATGTGAGGAACAGATCCCATTCTGCTCTTATACAGTTTTACACCGACCTAACAGACACACCCCGAGACTGGATCTGCTCCTCACACCTGGTGCCTCACGCACATCCTACCATGCATTGGGAACATATCCCGTACTTAATTGTTATTATTTACGGAAGATGTTCCCAATGCACGGTGGATGTGCCTGTGAGGCGCCTATTTGCGAGGAGCAGATCCTGTCTTCACATGCACATCCATCGTGTATTAGGAACATCTCCCATGATCGTGAATACTAATAAGTATGGGAGATGTTCCCAATGGCGTGTGAGGCGCCAGTGGTGAGGAGCAGATCCGGTCTCCTCCCATAAGTGACTTGTGAGTACTGAGGAACAGATCCGGACTCAGGAATAGGGAGGAGGGTATGCGCGTCGCTATACGCTCGCCTGTGCACCTCTCGAGTCCTGAGTCCTGAAACGCGAAAAGATAAACAAGATGTCTTTCGGTTTAGAGTAGTTAAACACTTAAACCCCAGAGCCACGAAAACAAAACCTTTGATAAAACCTGCAACTTCAATACTAAACAGGAGTTCCTCTTGAATTCTCCACAGTATTTCAATTCAATGCCCCAGTTTTCATTCTTTTCCTTAATTTAGTTTTCATTTGGATTAGGATGGCTCTGTTACCTAGTTGTCAATTCTATCCGACAAGCTTCTTAGATTCATTTCAGAGCTCTCTCTCAAGGTTCCAAGGTTCTCGCCTGTTAATTCTCAGGTATGCATCGTCAATTCGGTTCAAAAGGCACAATTTTTCTGTAAGCCATAACAACATAATCTCGGATTCGCTTCCAGAGAAAAACCAACAAAAAAATTCTAGTTTTGCTCTGAAAAAAAACAACGATAGGCGGTATTTTGCCGAAGAAACACCCATTTCTCAATCCATTTCCAATGGCGATTTCTCAAGTAATAGCTGGATAAGTAAATGGAACGAAACCCACCAACAAAATCTTCCCAATAGGCCGCAGACTGTTTTGGATTATCGAAATGGTGGGGATGTTTCGAGCAGTGAAGACGATGAGAACAATACTAGTAGTAGTAGCGGTAGTAGTAGTACAATGGATAAGATTGTGGAGAAGTTGAAAAGGTTTGGGTATGTTGACGACATGAATGAGAGGAGGGAGAGAGTGCCCGAAAAAGGTTCTGTGGAAGATATTTTTTATGTTGAAGAAGGGATGCTGCCGAATACGAGAGGTGGGTTTTCAGCAGAATCTCCGTTAGGCATAGAAAATGGTTTGGGGGGCAGTGGGGAAGTTCGGTTTCCTTGGGAAAAGCGTTCAATGAAGGAAGAAGAGGAAAGGAATTCATTTAGGTCGAGGAGTAGGACTTCGTTGGCTGAATTGACTCTTCCAGAGTCAGAGCTGCGGAGGCTCAGAAATTTGGCCGTTCGGACAAAGCAGAAGACTAAGATTAAAGGAGCCGGCGTCACTCAAGCGGTTGTGGATGCTATTCATGAAAAGTGGAAGACGTCAGAGATAGTGAGACTCAAATGCGAGGGTGCTTCTGCGCTTAATATGAAGAGAATGCATGAGATATTGGAGGTAACTTCTTGATCAGACTAAATCACCTTATATTCCTTGTTTCCACGTTATACCTTATTGCTTTGAATTTTTCCTGTATTACATACTCAATAGGAATTTGTGTGGATTCTGACTTACTTTTTATGTTGAGTGTTGTTGATAACTAGGTTCAAAGTATCGTTATGTGTATTGCCAGAGGTGTATCAGCACTAAAAACCATGAGATTTTATACTTTTTTTAGTTTTTTTTTTTCAAAATTTGTTTTTTGGGTAGTTTTTTTATACATTTTTTTATTAAAAAAAGAGGGTTCCCAAAACAGGAACCCAAAAGATATGGTACATATTCCCGATACAGGGCGTATCATATCAAAATTTTGATGCCATCCGATAAGGGTTCTTTCTGTATCCTTTTCAAGTGACTATGCTTATACTTATGATTTGGTTCCTTATGGTCGCCTTTGCAATTGGAGAGTAGCCTTAAGTTGGATCCTCCTTTTTGAATACTAACAAGAATGTTGATTAATTCCTGATAATCCTGCCCTGGGTTGGTCATCATTTTATTGTTATTATTATTTTTGTGTGTGCTAGGGAGGGGATTGAGAGGGGTTTGTTTATTGTTTTTGCCCTTACATACAGATAACTACATAAGTTGGTTTAGGTGTTCTATCTGCCTCTTTTAATAATGATTTTCTAAAAGTATTACATGATACAACAAGGAGTAACAAAGAGTGAAAGCATAAGAATATGTTTATCAACAAAAGAAAGCATTCAGATCATCATCATCATAATCTAAGTATTGTCCCAACTGTATGGAATTGGTTACATGAATCCTCTTTTGCCATTCCATTCTGTTCAGTGCCATATCCATTGTTAAATCATGGGTGCTTAAAAGATAAGATAATGTATGTTGCAATCCTTTTTTATTGTTTTACTACCATTTGTTGTATTTCTTTTGACTTTACATTTCTTGTTGATGTTTTTCTATCTATGGCCCAATCTATATGTTGGGCCATAGATGACAATGAAGAAAGTATTTGGCTCTTAATACATTTTTTATACAATTTATCAGACTATACAATATTTTAAATTAACTGTAATAGAAAGATGTCTAGTAAAAATAGAAACATATCTTTAATTTAGTCTGTTGTTTTCACAAGTTTTGAGGGAATCTCTCCTTTTTTGTTTTTGATTTAAATAAAAAGATCTGTCTTATCGTCCTCCCTATTTCTATAATTACGATAAATCTTCAGTTAAATTTTTAAGTTACAGACAACATTCTGTTTTCTATAGACACACATATCACTTTCAGATAAAATATTTCATTTTAATTGGTTACTTTTTAGGAATTTTAGAAAGGATTTCTCCTCAGTTTTTCCCTTTTAATGGAAGGACCTCGTTAGAACTTTGATCAAGATGCTCCTGAGTCCTGATAGAGATTCTGCATTCTTGGATACTGTGAATGTAACAATTCGATTGACACAATTAATAACTAACAAAGTTCTACTGGCATCTTTATTCTAGGAATGGTTCTATTTCAAGTGGAATCAAGTGGAAGTATTTTAGTTTAAGTGTTTTCTTTCTGGTGGATATTTACAACCATATTTATGGCATTATATATTATTCAAGTGAGTAACCTGTGAGAATAAATTAATTTCATCAAGTAGAGTAAGGGATTATTTTATTCTAACCTTTTATTGTGTTTTTAATAGTTTGTGAGTTATAAATGTTTTCATTTTTCTTAAAAATTATTTCCTGATATAATTTCTTCTATGCTGTACAGAGGAAAACTGGTGGATTGGTAATTTGGAGGTCTGGCACTTCCATTTCTTTATATAGAGGTGTGAGTTATGAGGTTGCTTCAGTGAAAGATGCCAGGAAGCGAATTCAAAATATCAATGAGAATTCACATAATTCATTTGAAATAATTACTGCTAAGATTAACAGGGATCCCAAAGAAAACAGTTCTTATGGTGCTGTGCAGGAACCTCAGACAAGTATGGTTGCAACGGTTGAAGAGAAAAAGGATGTTGAATCTTTGCCAGAAATAAAGTATGAACATGAAATGGATGAGCTTTTAGATAGTCTTGGCCCTAGGTATACAGATTGGCCAGGAAATGGTCCATTGCCTGTAGATGCTGATTTGCTCCCCGGTGTTGTTCTTAACTACAAACCCCCCTTTAGAATACTTCCTTATGGAGTAAGATCCACTCTTGGGATCAAGGAAACAACAGCCCTACGGAGGCTTGCTAGAATTATACCTCCACATTTTGCTCTTGGTATGTTACTTCCTGTTGGAAGGGAAAATAACTAAATATGCCAATATTTTGTTAATATTGTAGTTATTTTGTCTATGAATGCTGATTCTAAACTTTTCCCTCTCTAGGGAGGAGCAGGCAGCATCAAGGGTTAGCAATGGCTATGATCAAGCTGTGGGAAAGAAGTTCTATTGCAAAGATTGCACTGAAGCGTGGTGTGCAACTTACTACCAGTGAACGAATGGCTGAAGATATCAAAGTAATCTATACCATAATAGAAATCATTGTTGAGAATCTACTTTCTTTAATATGTATTTTCTGTTATTTTTTTTAATCTCATTGTTGCAGCTATGATTTAATTTTTATGACAAAGTTCATGGTGGCATGTCTTGTCATCCATATTAGTACTGAGTGTCCACATTCATTCAAAATTAGTTTGTATTTGCTAGTGCAAAATGCAGAAATTATACTTACCATTTCTTAGTTGGCTACATGCTAAAACTCAACAATGATGAGAATATTGGCAGCTTTCATTTGCATTCTTTTGTTCTGTCTCACTGAAAAGTGAAAAACCCCGAATCTGCTTTCTGTTTCCAGAATAATATGGATTGAGTTGTCTGGTTGCATCTTCATTATCCATCTAATGATGGTTGGTGGCAGCAATTTTATATTGTTGTGCCACCACAAGGATTTCCAATAAGTTCTTCATATTATTCAATGATCCTTGATCCAATCAGAATTGTTCTCCTGTGAATGCTATAAGTTTACTGCCCAGAAAAAATGAATTTGCAAAGTGGAGGCATTAAAATCTTGGATGCTGATTGTGCATTTTGAGTTTCTTCAAAGTGCACAAGATAAAGTTGGTGCCATGTTCAAATGTTTGAGGTTAAAAAGATTTAACTGGATAGATATTTCTTCCAATTGCTTATTAATGATTAGCAATATGGGGCAGGGTAAGGATCACCTTTTTTGTAGGATGAGGTTACTGTAAAACCATGGTGATGCTATTCAGGTGGTTTTCATTGTGTTTTGGTCATTATCCTTCTAATTCTAAGTTATAGTATCATAAGCATGGTGCCTCTTTGTAGTACATGAATTTTATAAATAATGTGTTCTTACCAATAATAATGATAAAAAAAAGTATTGTCAGTGATGATACTTTAAAGAACCTGTAAATTTGGAGGTGGCTGAAATGTATTTAATCAATAATGTTTTCAATGGTCTATTCTAGTTCCTATCCTAAGTCCTAACAAAGATTTCCTATGTAGTCTTGGTAACCCTAAACCTTTGATAGTAATTCTTGGTCTAATCAATCTCTTAGGTGGGGCCTCTCAGTGATGGTGGTTCCTATTATCTGTATACAAGGCACATATCTAGAAATGACCCCAGCTGCTATCTGACTGACATAGTTCCAGAGTATCCTTCCACATCTGTTTAGAAGTTAAAAACGTGAAGTTGTGTATTGGATAAACAATTATCAAAGAAAATAGTGTATGGATGACATATGAACTTCTGAGGTTTGGCCTAGGCATTCCCTTAGCCAGAACTCTTTTAATTGTGGTCCTGATTTTCATACATCGAAAGGCATGTCCAGATACAATACCTAACCTGATGTGCAAGTCCTGTACCCTCAAAGCAGTTTATATATAAAATGCTAAAAGCAAGTCTTTTAAATAGCCTCTGATACTAATTCAGGATGAGGACATAAATTATCTGCTTTCTAAAGTATCTTGACAGGGTTGTATATATGTCTGCTAATTTGATTTGAAACAAACCCATGCCAAATTGCCAGCTTGGCTTCCAAATGTTCATCTTTAACATTATCAAAGATTTGGTTCATGCGAAGGTGTACATGCTTGGAAGATTCTGTATTGGATGTTTGATTCAATCTTTTGGTGATTGACTGCAGAAATTGACGGGGGCCACAATTCTTTCTAGAAATAAAGACTTCATTGTATTCTACAGAGGAAAGAATTTCTTGTCACCAGATGTGACTGAGGCACTGTTAGAGAGAGAGAGGTTGGCAAAGGCATTGCAAGATGAAGAGGAACAAGCACGGCTGAGAGCCTCATCCATGGTTATCTCAGTTTCTGAAACCATAGTAGAGTCCGGTACTGCAGGTACTCTTGAAGAAACTCTAGAAGCAGATGCTCGGTGGGGGAAGAAGCTAGATGATGAAGATAGGAAGAAGATGATGCGAGCTGCAGAAGTAGCAAGGCATGGAACCCTTGTTAGAAAGCTTGAGCAGAAACTTGCTCTTGTAAGTCATTTAAATTACGTAGTGACACTAAGAGGCTTTCTTATTTTCTCATAAGGTTTAGAGATATGAAGTATATTCTTGTTTCTGTAAGAATGGTTGAACCACCCTTTTTTTTCTTGGGATGATTGAAAAATGTTTTATTTATTTATTTCTTAAAAAAACGTTTTAAGTAGTATTGAAATTCCATGTACTGATGTACTATTAAACAATTCTTCTGTGGCAAGTTCATAATTATGGTACTTCAATTGTCTGTAGGAGACAGGCAAGAGATCTACCACTTTAAAGATAGACCCAACCTGATTGCCATTATTACGAAACTACATTGGAGAATATTTAGCAAATACTCTATAGCAAAAGTCTGAGTTGAATGATTATGATTATCCAATTGGGTTATTTTTTGACAAAAGAGACCTAGGTGCCACCAGCATGCACTCACACAATGCTTATGGCTGATACCTATAGACTGTTGATGGTCTATGATACTAGGATACTAGGACTTTGAGTCCCGAGCAATCCATTATGATATTAAAATGCAATGTCATACAATGTTTTAAGCTTAAGAGTTTATGATAATTACTGTGCATGTTAAAGATATTACATAGTTGAAGCCTTGAGGTGAAGGGTGTTACTCAGTTTTTATATCTTGATTCTTTTTTTTTTTATTTATATTTGAGCTATTGCTTTAAATAGGGTGTTGTTTCTCTTGCATATCTATGTCTATCCTTCTTGACTTTCTGGAGTTCTGGTGTAACAGGCTGAACGGAAGTTAATGAAGGCAGAACGAGCTTTATCTAAGGTTGAGGAGTTTTTAAAGCCCACGGAAAGGCCAGCAGACCCAGAAAGCATTACTGATGAGGAAAGGTTTATGTTTCGCAAACTGGGTCTTAGGATGAAAGCTTTCCTACTCCTTGGTAACAATCTACCCATTTAATCAAAATATGAGCATTTCTGTCCATTTATCTTGCTTTGCTTGGATTTTATGGAATCATGAGTGGTGTTATTTCATGTTTCAGGAAGACGTGGAGTATTTGATGGCACAGTGGAGAACATGCACCTCCATTGGAAGTACAGAGAACTTGTTAAGATCTTAGTAAAGGCTAAAACTTTTGATCAAGTCAGGAATATTGCATTAGCCCTGGAGGCTGAGAGTGGTGGTATCTTGGTTTCTGTAGACAGAGTTTCCAAAGGGTTTGCCATAATTGTATTCCGAGGGAAGGACTATAAACGACCTCCAACATTGAGGCCAAAGAATCTTTTGACAAAGAGGAAAGCTCTAGCGCGTTCTATTGAGCTTCAGAGGCATGAGGTACTTTTAGTAAGATATGATGAAAGTTTAAGTGTGATATGTGGTGTACACGTGGCATATCCACTCATGGAACCAATTTAATCAATTAGCAGGCTTCCTCTAAGATGGCCATGGAATTGGTCTACTTGAGAATTTTAGCATTCTGATCTGCAGATAAAGCTTAAATGAACAAATCTGAACCGAATTTAACTCATAATCCAGTCAGTTTGGGTGGTAGGCCAGGTGTACTGTATTTGCTGTAGATTAATTGAGAAAGATGGCCCAAGGTCAATAGACTTTCTTTTAACTTAAAAAGCATTTATTTTTCACAAACTAGGTTTGGGGTTTTGCTGTAGATTAATTGAGGAAAATGGCCCAAGGTCCATTGAAATGGAGTTTTATAAATTGCTGATGAGTTCTCTGCATGGAGTTCAATGGTCTAAACTGATTCATTTCTTCATTTGGATGAACAGGCACTCTACAAACATATTTCAACTCTGAACAAAAGGGTGGAGATGCTAAGATCAGAACTTGTATGCGCTTCAGTGGTTTTCACTTTGTTTGAATACTGCCTATTTTTTCTGTTTTCCTCCTAACCTGAACCTTTTTGATTTCTTCTGTGCAGGATCAAATGGAAATTGTGAAGGACCAAGGAGACGAGGAGTTGTATGCCAAGTTGGATGCAGCATATCCTACTGAAGATGAAGATTCTGAGGTTGATATTCATATGATATGTGTTTATCTGCATCTTCTATTTTACTTTTGTGAAGCGTAGGTGTTGATCTTCTTTTACCTTGTTATTCTTCATAGGATGAAGGTGATGAGGCATATCTTGAGACTTATGATAGTGATAACAATGATGCCGATCCTAAAGATGCAATCCAGAACTTCCATGCAGAAATAGAAACAAATTTTCCTTATGATGAACAAAATTGGGCAGGTGAAACAGATTCAGAAGCTCTCCAAGCATATTCACTTTTAGAGACCAATAAATCATGTACCAGAACCAATGAAGCAAGGATGGAAGATTCCAATTTTCATGATTTGGACTAATTCACTCTTATAAATGGTAGGGGAAAGTTTTGTAGATTATCTTCAGGAGCAAAACCAATGTTTATGGGTGTACAGTGATAAGATCCTGAGGTGTTTATGTCTTTATAGAATTCGCTTGGCCACCCCATCCTGAGGTGTTCATGTTCTGTTAATTCAGGACTACTAATTCAATCAACACTTAATGTTCCCATCCTTATCTCCATTAACAGTGCCTAGAGGAAGAGCTCACCTAATGATATCAATGAACAAACTTATGCAGTCACATAATTTCGCTATCAAGATTCGAGACATTTCACATACCATGAAAGAATGTAGGTCTTAATATCTTTTGCAATGAACCTAACTACATCAATGCAACCCAATACTGCAACAGAGAACCATATAGTAATGAACATAGGGTCTGCACTAAAAGGTGAAGTTTTATGTTCTTAGGCATATTCACAGCTTTCAGAAATGCTATTGTAGGGAACAGAAAGCCCAGACGAGTGAAACCAATGACTCCACAAGTAGAAACAAAATTCCGAAAGAATGTCATGGCAGCAACAGCATCAGTAGTTGTTATAATAACCATGTAAGCTGCTGTGAGAACAAGGCATATCAGATAAATTTGTATCTATTGGATTTTGTCAGTTTATTGGATTGCATTCTTTCCTCATAATAGGCAAAAGTTGGCCTGCAGTATATCTGAACATGGATTATGAATTAAATGAGAAATTCAGTTCAATGGGATTGTTAACTTTCAGTTTCAAATACATAATATGTGAGAGTCATACAATCCTGAAAGACTAGATTGAGCTTCATTTACTGGAAGGGGGTATACATTCATAAATGTGGTGAATATCTAGACTGATTCCACAGGGAGATTGGTTTGAGAAATGGTCTAAAGTCATGGGGAAAAATCATATGAAACTAATGTCAAGGTCAACTGAGATAGATCCTATAGATATGCTTGTTGTGAATGTAGTTGAAGTAATTAGCCAGTGAGCTTTAAAGTTTCTTTAAAAGTAAAATGAACATTTATTATGAATTCTTCCATCTCTAGTGTTGTGTATCTGTTGCTAATGTTTTCTATTGGTTTTAGGAAGTGATTATATTTGTCTATTTCTTGAAAAAGAAAAGAAACAGTGTCTAGAAAGTAATAGGGTTGTCTTCTGGAATTATAAAACATTAGGTACAGGAAAGAATTAAAGTTAGGATCTATGATTAACATTTTGTTGTATATATAATTATGGTTGATACTAGTAAATATGTACGTTGCACGTGGCAATTTTAGATAATAATAATTGTAATAACAATAACAATATATGTCTAGATATTTTTAAATTTCTTCTATAATCTTTTATATTTTTCTCTAATTTTAAAATTGTATTATTTAACTATGATATCATGTGCTGTCCCATTTGACATAGCACAAAAAATGAATATATTTTTATGTAAGTTTTAAAATTTTTACTCCATTTTCATTATCAAAAAAATCCTTTTTTTATATAATGTGATGAATGTATAATGTCAAGGATGCCTCTTAATTTTTCTATGAACTTATTCTGTTTATTATATCTTTTAGTATTTCTATTTATTTTTATTTTTTTATTATTTAATTATGACATTATGGGTTAACCTAGACTATTGAATTCCTGAACCATTCCTTGAATGGAAAACAGTTTCCTTTTCAAGATAATTTTATTTTTGGTATTCCATTGCCACCATCAATAAAAATAATTCTTATTTATCACACTTATTATCTTTAATATGATGGCTATATAATATTAGATTTTGCCAAATTTTCTACTATTTTTTTGTATTTCTATATTTTTAAATTTTATTATTCAATTAAAACATCATGGGTTGATCTATTTGACTTGGACATTTGACCCATTTGGTTTTAAATTTTGTATTTCATTATATCATTAATAAAAGTAATTCTTATTTTATAACACTTATCTTTTTAATATGAATTAATATATAGTGTTAGAGATGTGTCTAAAATTTTCTATTTTATTTATTTTCTGTATTTTTTCTATTTTTAGAAAAAATATTATTTTAGTATGAGATCATGGGTTGATCCATTGATCTGAATGGTTGAACCATTGACCCACCACTTAGGGAGGAAAATGGTCTGATTTATGGATCAGTTTTAAATATTACATTCCATTTCTATTATTGATAAAAATACTTCTTATATATTATACCTATTTTTGTTTAATATGACAAATACATAATACTAAAGATGCACCTAAAATTTTCTAATTTTTTATTTATGTATTTTTATCTATTTTTAAATTTTAGTATTTAATTATGGTATCGCAGGTTCACTTGTTTGACCCAAACGGTATAGCTACTAATCTGCCACTTAGAAAAACTGGTTTTGTTTTTAGTTGATTTTAATATTTAGGTTTTATATTATTAATATCAGTGTTCATTGATATAATTAGTGGAATTTAATGATGATAGACAAAAAGACCTTAAATATAGGATTCAATAAGAGAGAATGAGAGTTAATGCCTTAAATATGGGACTTAATGAGGGAATGAAATGCATTAAAAAGTAATATCCAAATTATAATTTCTACCCTCACAATAGAGAGAGACCAAATTCAAAATGAGGGGTATTTTAGTCAAGAAAAATTCCAGAAACCATGGAGAGCCATTCACACTTTTTATAGTAGTGTAGATATTTTCTATGTATTTTAATGAAGGGGTACATACAGTTCTTTTTTTTTTCTTATCCTTTTTATGCCAAGTAGAATATTGGCATCATAGAGGGAATTACTAATGTAAAATGTATCTCTATTCAATATCCTAGTATTTCTTAGCATGTCTAAGATAGAAATGTTTCAGTTTTATTAATGCTATTCTAGATCACATTTCTTTGTTCAAGCCTCTTATTTTTTTCATTGTGAACCAATACAAAACATCCTGATATTTGAACCAATGCAAAGAATTGCTCACTCAGGAATTGTAAGAGAAGCCAGGATGTAGGGTTGAACATCTGACACAAATGCCCAGTAACAACTGAAGGCTGCTGAGTATTGAATAGATAGGCATATGCTGCTGAAACACCTTTATACATTTTCCTCTTTGCATGCTCCCTCACAGTATTCTGTTAAGAAAAAGATCATTGAGTTAAATATTGCAGTTATGTCAGTTTGAATTATGGATAACTTTTATTATGTAAATAATTTCATATTAGTGTCCTTGCCTGTATTTCTGGAAGCATTGCATTTCCAAATGAAAAAGCAATTACTCCAGGTGCATTGAATGCTTTGAAAGTTTTAGATGAGTAGATTTCTTCTAATCCATGGGTAATTGTCTTTCTATCAATTTTCTTCCATATAAAGTATAAAGGTAATGAAATGATTGTTTGAAGTAGACTTGAAATGAGTTCTATTTGCCCCTTACGTTGAAACCAACTCAGAAATTTCTTAAACCATAAGAAAAATAAACAAATTAAAGATTCACAGCCTTACTATTATAGATAATTATACCAATTGTTGTTCTGGCAAAGCTTACTGTGCTGAAAGTGCACAGTGCATTTACCCACAACAGTGAGTGAGTCTCTAGGAGCTGTGACAGGAGTAGTTCAAATGCTCCTAAGAAAATAATGAATTTCTTCAAGGTTAAGTTTCCATCCTTATGACAATACTTGTAAATTGCCAGCAGAACAGAGAAATGAGTCCTCCAAGAAAAAATATGGAAAAAGAAATTAAGAAACTAAATGCCTTGGTTTGGTTATTGGTATGAGATGCTGCAGAACGATCTCCCAAGATTAGCTAGTATTGGTATTAGTTAAATACTAGTTACAGATTGATAACCATCTCCATGTTATCCTGAGATTTGTGGGTCATGCGCATCAGAACCGGGCAAAAGGGTGAATTTGCTGAAGGAGCACTGATAGAAAAGAAGAGAATATAGAAAAATAAACATATCAGCAAATAATTTCTCAACATGGATTTAGATTTAAATTATAAACTAACCACCATTATCCAATGAAGAAATAACTGAAATAGTTTGAATCATCTCCATGAAAAGTAACAAACTCCTATAGCTCATTTAACATTTTGGGTGAGATGAGCATATTTGGGCATTTTGATGAAAAGAAAATAAAGAAGAAATAGCAGCTTTGCATTCGTAAGGCTTGAATTCTTTATCCTATAATGCAGTCTTTAACTAAGAATAAAAGATGCTTCAGTACTGAACATAAACGTAATCAATTACCAAGGTTGCTTACTTCCCAAGTTGACTAGCTTAGATAGAGTTTCTGCTTAGAGGATGTTTAAGGCTGTGTTTGGAAGGAGTGCAAATGCTGAACCATTGCAAAATTGTGCTCCAGTTCAGGTTTGCATCTGTTTGGTAATAGCATGAAATTGCACCAATAATAGATGCCAATATGTAAACTTATCAATGTTTGTATAAAAAATAAGAGCAAATTTTGCTTCAAAAAAATTGAAGCAAACTTTGCTCTCATTCTTGATCCAGTAAACAAGCATTTCATTTGATTCCATTCTTGACTGTGCTTTGCATAACCCCCTTGGAGAGAGGAGAATGGCTCCTTCTGATCTGCGAACTCCACCATTGGTGACTTCTGAAAACTGAGAATCCAGCAACGTTTTTGTTGGATTTTGTGACATTGACTGAGAGCTGAGCCGTTGGTTGCTTCTTTCTTCCTTGGCAGAACTCCATAGAACTGTAATCTCTATTCTTGTTCACAACTTGTACTACCACTGATCTTGCAATACAACCTTCCTTTGGTGACTGATTTTGCTTTTATTTTTTGTTTTCAGGTCATCAATAGCCTCCCTTTGACCTTGTTCTCTGAAGCCATAGCAATAGATCTCTTCTTCTTGGAGCATTTGAAGCAAAAACATTAATCAGTTGCAGATCCAATTCCCATCTTATCCCTCCTTTTTCAGATCTGAGAAGGTAACATTGTGCATCTCTTTTCTCATTTGAACGTGGTGATTTGGCTTCGATCCTCCGTGCTTGCAATCCTTTGTTCTCTAGTTAACTTGATAAGAACGAAAGCTACAAACTGACCATGTTCTCTATTTTCATTTGGACTTGGTGATTAGGCTTCAATTCTGCTGATGTGGTTAACCATATATGTTTTTACTGGCTTAGAACAGGTGGATTTAGCTTAATGTGATTCCTGTTAAGAGTTTAGTGAGGGATTTATGGAAGAGTTTAACCCATTTTGTATCCTGTGAGTGCTACCTTACCAGGAACAGTTGGATTTAGCTTAATGCGGTTCCTATTGAGAGTTTAGTGGGGGGGGGGGGGTTATTTGAGTGTTTAACCCATTTTGGATCCTGCTAGGCTGCTAGTGTTACCTTACCAGGAATGACATGGTTTCTCCTTCAACTCGTTCAAAATAGTCAGTGGTTCAATAAGTTCAATCCTTCAAAACTGACCACTGAGAGTCTGAGAAGGTTCTACTTTTTCACTCTTTTACCTAGCAAGATTATAAGTTTAGTTGTGGTCTTAGATTTTTGGCAAGACAGGAATTAGTAGACATGTTTTTATCCACGTATAAACAATTTACAGTTTTACAGTGAACTGGTTGGCTTGAAAATCTTCCATTCACAAGGCCAGGATTGGTTACTAAAAGGCAGCTTGCTTTTGTGATGATAGGTCCATTACAATGGAAATTTGAACTTAATGTGCTAGTGAACTAAAACCCTTGCACACACACACACACACATGATTAATTAAGGCCAAGTTATAGGCGAAGGTGAAAGGAGTTTGTTTTTTTATTTCTAATGTCCAAAGTGAGGTAGGATTCACCTTTGGGGCTTCATATTATTGGGTTTTGGTTATGATCTCAAAAGTGTCCTAATGGTTAGGTTGGCATGGTTTTAAATTCTGATTCAAAGGGTTGGTTCAGGCATATAATTTCTGGGTTTACTTAGGCTTGATTAACTTCATGTTCAATTCTATTATTCATTTCCAAATGTAATCAAGTATGACTAATCTTTTGCTAACTGTGGTCATCTATCAAAAAAGCAAACTGTGGTGATATTCGTCCAGTTAGATTTTCTTAGGCATTAATGACCTCAAGCAAAATCTGTTTTATTAGAAAACTTCAGAGTAAAATGCCATCTATTCACTTCAATAAAGCTAGCTTTACTCTGTAATGCCATCTACTCACCAGTTGTAACATCCAAGGACTTCCTTCAGAATCTGGTATACAGATCTGAAAGGGAATCAAAAGAGCTATTATTGTTTTATACTCTTAATGACCAACAACAGTTACAAATACAAGGTCAAAAACAGTCTTGAATAGATCGGTAGGTATTCTGCAACATTTTGTTATCAGCACCAAAAGGATTATTAGTGGCACGGGAATTGTTAATGATGCTCTCTTTGATTTCAAATACGATCAGAAGCAAGGAATACATACCCTGAATACCACCAAGGAATCATATCTAGAAAATCAGGATTCAATTGTTTTTTTTCTTCAACTTCTCATATTTCTTAACTGTTTTTTCTCACATTCAAAATGCTATAATCATTCAATTTATTTTCTCTCTTTATTCATTTTTTGTATGAAAAAGAGAACAAAATAGTCGTTTCTTAGGTAGGATCCCGTTGCGAATTGGAAAATGGGACGCCCATTCTGGTCTCTATAGATCCCCGCTTAAGCCAGATGGGCCTGGATTGCCCTACTGTAGCCATCAAAATGTAGTTCTACCAAATCTGTATCCAGTGGCCTCAACTATGAGAGAGCAAGAGATCTAGTTGCTGAGGATTGTGTCAACCAATTTCCATCCCCTAATTATATTCTCTATAGAGAATTGATCAAATAATCTCATCATTTTGATCCAGGGAGCTATTTTTGTTGTTATACACTTAATGATAACACCTCTAGACCAAGCTTTGCCATTACATAAGTCTATTGTTAAAAAAAAAGTATATTATTTCTCTCTTCCCATTTTGTCTTGTACATTTAATATTCCTTATGAATGCATCTGAGTATCTAAACACAAAATTTGTAGTGGACCAATAATATTTTAGTTTGTTCTTAACCTCAAAACAGGTCAACTGTGAATTAATCAAGGTTATTTTGGTTTCTTATGAAGATGGATGCACATAAATTAGTGTTGTTTCTTCTGTGGGACCTTCACCAAATCCATCCTTTGCTCATATGAGCTTCTATTATGTTTAACAATGTTTCAATGAGATTGTCGACGTGAAGTTGACTGGCAAATGAGCCCGTTTGGATGGAATGTAGTTGCTTGGTTGTAATTCTAAATACGAAATTTGTAGTGGATCAATACCATTCTAGTTTGTTCTTGAGCTCAGACCAATACATGTCAGCTGTGAATAAATCAAGGTTATCTTGGTTTCTTCTGAAGATGGATGCATCATTTTTTTTGTTCATGGATGTTAACGTTATATGGATGGGATGGGTAACTGTTTACATGTGACCCATTTAATTGTAGCAACAAATTCTGTTGCTTTTGTCTGTCAATGGTCAGGTCTATCTAAAATAAGCAAACTGACTGAGCCGATTATGTGGTTCTGGTCTACCTATAGAGCTGTCAAATGGTTCAGGTCTAGCCATCTAGCTGATAGAGACGACCAAACTGAACTTATTATATCAGGTCTGTTAGGCTAGATCTGGTTAACTTGTTAGCTCCATGGTGATTGTTGGACCCAGCATTACACCACATGAGTTATATGGCCCATATGTAGTGCATTAGTACTTATTACGTGTCAAACAAATTTGCTTGGTTGACAACCAAACCATGCCTAAAAAACAAACTCATATACCTTACTGTTGGTCCATTTACCTTATAATGAACAACAGTCTATTCAATGTCCTAGATCATCATCCACTGTTTGGCCATTCCATTCTGTTTAATGCCATATCCATTATTAAATTATGAGTGCTTTAAGGTTGTGTTTGGTACCATTGCTGTTCTACCTAAAACGTTTTTGGATTGATCGAAACAAATTGGTCAGGGATATGTATTGTCACATCACAGGAGAGTTAGAATGATTAATACTGTCGTTGATGTTTGTACCTGAAATGTCAATTTGACATTTTCACAAACTGCCTCTAAATGTATGGTTTTTTAAGATATGCTTGTTTCAAATTTCAACTATAAGCAGCTTCAAATAACATTTGTATGCCAATTTATACAAATTAATTACTACTTTAACCCATTTTTCTGATCCTATCAAGTGCGCCAAAAATTAGAAAATTGGAGCCCACTATCAATTGGTCCAAAAAATTGTAGGTACAAAGATTGTAAAGTTGAAAATAAAAAGGAAAGGCAATCTTTTAGTTGGGGCCATGGGACGTGTAGGCATGCATCGACCGTCTTATTCAAACTTAAAAAAAAGTCCAAAATGACGTTCCTTTGAAGACCTAGATACATGCATAAACTTTTTTTGTTCAAACTTAAAAAAAGGAATTCAAAGTTTTCATGTCTCTCTTAATCAATATATCAATCCCCATTTGGATGGATAGCCATGGTTCCTTTCACTGTTTTCAAAACCGGTCACCTGATCCGGTTCCGTTTTCTTCCAAAACTGTTTGAATGGTTGACCATTTTTCAGTTTTTATTGTCAGAATGGGTTGGCCGTTTGGGTTGAATGAACGGACTGTTTGAACCGGTAACCGGACCCCTGACCGGTTCGTTTTTAAAAACCATGATTCCTTTTCATTAAAGCTATATATGTTTGGTTTGAAGGAAAAGGAGGGAAAGGAAGGAAAAGATAGGGAAACCTTTACAACCTTTCCCTACCTTTTCCTTCAAACTAAACACATTATAAGTGCTACAAGTTTTTTTTTTTTTTTTAATTTAAAATATAAATTTCGTGTAAGAAAAGGATAAAATATTTTTAGTCAAAATAAAAACGCTTTTCTTCTCAACTAAAACAGAAAATTTTTACTTAAATCTGTTATTTGCATCACTTATTTGGAAGTTGGAATTGGAAAACCCAGAGCAGATCAAATACAATACAAATTAGGTGATGTGATGAATACAAAACTATTCGTTTTTCTGGTTATTTTTGTGTGTGGGAAGTGGGAACACTGTTCGGGTACATAAACACCTCAACTCCAACCATGGGAGATGAGATCATAAAGTGGGACTCAGGGTCATAAAATTTTAAATTCGCATGTATTAAAGTCTGATTGGGACTACTATTACCGTGAAGCAAAAATGTTAATCGATTATATTAAAGATGTCAGTGTTTACTTACCTTTTCATTGGTTTATATAAAAAACGTAAAAAAAAAAAGAAAGATTGGGAGATTGGGTTACTTTATTTATTTATTTTGCTTCAGAGTGTAATTTCTAACTGTAGCATTTGCCTTAAAATCTTGGAGAAGTATTTGGATCCGGCCATTGTCTTAGTGTGGTAAAAGAAACAAATGACTTCTTCTAGTTCTAAATAGTGAGTGATTGAACCAAAATCTAAAATATGCTGCGAGTAGCAGAACAACTCAACAAGAGTATATACATGATAGTTTTGTTTCACTTGTTTGTTGATATATATGCACGGTTTAAAGTATTGATACACTTTCATATGCAACTGATAAAATACGATACACTCATTCGATATATGAAGAAATTTTGAACCTTCGATATATCTTAAAAGGGAGGTTTATATAGGTTTTCCTACATTTCTCTTCCTTTCCCTACTTTTTCCTTCAAACCAAACACAGCCTGCGCACAAAGTGACAAAACAATGATGTGTCTGTGTCTGGATCCACATTAGCCAGCTTGGGATGATAATATAATGCTAATGACTTTATGATCTATAAACTGTTGAAAAAGACACACTACCAAAATACATTTGACATGGTTTTCACCGTCTGATTGTCTTGCCCTGAAAATCACTACAAAACCAAATGAGGTTTGCATCATTCATGTCAATGCATTCACCTTTTCACTCTTACCACAACACTTAAAAAATTAGATTTACATTTTATTTGTTTCCTTGAATGAAGTTTCGTGCGGGGTACCAAAGAAGCCAGGAGGTAATTGTCTCTTGAGAATACAGATTCACTTTTATGGACGCTGGCCTCGTGTAAGCCATTAGGTGTGACCGCGAGATGTGAGAGAGGAGTGTTATCACACTTGTACCATCAAAACCCAAAATAAACGGGTCCAGCTTTGCTAGCATGTACAGTAATCTGATCAATTTATCATGAATAAATACACCGGTGTTCTGTACGTATTACACAGAACAAGGTTTTAAAAACTTATCTGGAAATGGAACCTCTTTCATCGCCGGTTTCCAGGCCAGCACTTTGGTCATCTGGCCGGGTCGAACGGTTCGGATGATTTGACATTTAGATTGGAAATCTGATTTTCTAATATAATAGTGTTCCGTCTCTTTTTATGATTATGAGAAAAGAGAGAGAGCTGGAGGTAGGTGGCTGTTGGCTAAGAAAAGGAGAAGGAAAGAAAGAAAGAAAGAAGATGACGGCAATGGCAACCTCTTTCTCCAATCTGAGATCTAAGATATTGTTTTTCTTTTTCTCTGATCTCATATGAGATTTGAGATTTAACCTCTCTCTCTCTCTCTCTCTCACACACACACACACACAAATCTCAGTGATCTTAGATCTGAGATCGTGTCTCAGTTCTTCCCCCATTTCTCAATCTCTTTTTTATTCTTTATTAATAATCTTAAAAAGTAAAATATTTTTTTATTAAACCGTAAACCGTTGCCCAGGTCAAATGATTTAGCGGTTTGATCGTTTGAATCAACAGTTATAAGACTAATTCAACAAGTTTTCTTTTTTGAAAAAAGTGATCCAATCTAAAAATGGACCCGGATACATGACCAGTTACTGGGTCAAACGGTTCGATCGTCTTTTCTGATCTGGTTTTTAAAACAATGGTACAGAATACTAGTGAGTTAGTTCACTCATGATAAATTGTTCAGCCCATTGTGCATAATTTTGGCTCCTACCCATTTTGTTCCGAAGCAAACAGCCAAAATAAACTTAAGGCTACCTTATTCTTATAAAGTTGCTCGCCTTCTGATATAAAATAGCTTTAAAACTAACATGTTTTCTATTTTTTAGTTTTTTATTATTATTATTTTGTGTATTTTAAGGCGTATTCGCCAATATGTACAGTTTGTTTTTAAAACAAAAACAACTGCTGCATCGGAGAAAATAATATAATCTCTCACTCATGTGAAAGCTATTTTGTTTTGAAAAACAAACCATACACCTCTTTGGCAAAGACCCCCTTGTCAATTCAATAATGACTCAAATTACCTATAATCAAAGCCTAAAACCTATCAATTGAGAGTTGAAAATAAGGTTTTGTAGCCTAAGACCAGTAGACAACATATTTGTATCTCATCTCGTGATGGACATGACTGCAATACATTACTCTTAATTCTTGATATTTTTTACTGTTCTTTTCCACTTGTTTAGTTTTTTCTTCTTCTAATTTTCTTTTATAAGAGGTTTTTTTCTTTTTTTTTTTTCAGATATTTGATCTCACTGATTGCCAATAGTTTAGTTTTATCCCCACTCTTTGTTTTTTCTTCTTATTCTAATCTTCTTTTGGGGATTCTCTTCTTTTGATTTTGTGATAATGCACACGTGCATGGATAAAGATGGAGGTTGACATTATATGATCAAATTTAACTTTTACCACCTACACCAAAACCAAACAGGTATCTAATTTATAATAGTATATAACACATGTATCTAATTTATAATAGTATATATAGATATATGAAAAGAAAAATCTATGATGCCAGAAAGACATGATATCAAAAAGGCTTTGAACAATCAAAACCCCCATAAATTTTGATGAAAGCCAGCCCACTTGATTGGTTTCCACTTTTATGATGCTAGTTGATTGGTTATAAGTTTTTCTGGTATCATATCTTTTTGGCATCAAAGTAGAACCTGTTATATCCATCAGAGCTCTTATCATATTTGAATCTCTTAAAAATTTTATTGAATGAAATTTAAATAGACACTACTTAGTTATGAATTTAAAATGGTTGAATTGGACAGTTTTGTTTAATGCCCGAGTTTGATAACTTGGTAAGGAGTGAGATGATTGTGAATCGTACCATGTAAGTTGCATTCACTTTCGCTCCTTGTATGGAGGGAGCGCAGATCTGCCGAACCACAAAATATTGGCCATTTCTAAGTGTAGGGGGTGCTCATGGTTTGGTTAACTGAATCGTGGGCCTTTTTTCTAAACCGAATTGGTAATACTAGTTTTTGGAAAACCAGTAACTGAAATCGAACCGAAGCTGATCAGTTAACCAATTAATCAGTTCGGTTCGTCGTTTTTTTGGTTTTCATAATATTTATATAATAAATATAAAATAATATAGTATAAATTATAAATATATATTT